CCCCGACCCCTCTCCCCTATATTCTATTTGTCTGTTTTTTGTTTTAGTAGATGTTTTACGGCACTCGCAACTGCATAAGATCATATGAGCGCCAAGGGGTGGATGTCAACAAAGAAGTCCTTACAGGGAATCAGACTTACTCTGCTCACCTCTCTGGCTTCAACAGCACAAAGTCTACTTCGACTATCAAGTCACCCCGGAAATAGCGGGTCACAAGAGTGTGACAAACATACAAAAGAAGTAGAGGAAAATGACGACAGTAAGGATTAGGAATTAAAAAGCAGCAGTTCCCTGTTGTGGTTCAGGCACAGTTATGACCATGACATTGTTGGATCAGCCCATTTACAATTCTACTGCGCATTAGAACGAGAAATGTCCCCGCTTTGGGAATGGCCTAGAGACACTTCAGTCAGTGGCACCGCCACTGTGGCGTTGAAGAAAATAATGTCATGTCAACGTTTAAATGTTTTAGGTGTATGCTGTAAATCCTCAATTATTTTTTTTACTTGCTTTAGGCTTACATCACATAAAACGTGTCGGAACGTTAGTTTGTAGTGGCCTTTACAAATGAGCTTTTAGATTATGTTGGTCATCCAACGTTTAGACCCGTATGCAAAACCTGAGAAGATTGAAGAGATTGGTTTTATTTTATTTTGTTTTCACCGCGATCAAATGAAAGTGGACCAGCTATAACTTTCGCGGTTTCCACAAGATAAAAGAAATCGCCCTGTTTCACATTCTCGGGTCTTTGCATGCAGGTCTAATAAATTTTAGTTGAATTAATAACCTTCAAAATCTAAAAGCCCATTAATGAAGATCACTGCCAACCAAGACTCCAACATATTTTTGTTAATGTTAGCCTAAAGTGGGTCCAAAAATGATAGATGATTTGCAGCATACACCTAAAACATAAAAAGTTTATATATTTTCTATGAACATGATACTTTATTATTGCGTACCTACGAAGCAAAGTTCAAAGGAAGAGTGAGTCTTGGGGGGAAATCCACAACCTTTTATGGATGTAGAGACAGTTTTGTTTAGCTGTCTCTTAATATAGTAGTAGATTCTATGTATGTACCCAACGGGCTGTGTTTAATAAAGGGCCCAAATACGTTTAAAAAAATACTGCTTCATCAGTTTTTAAATGAATTTTCTTTGATACCTGATCTGCAAAAGTGGCAGGATGCAAAGTTTCGTTGATAAATAAACGACATTATTTTTCTTTTAACGCGGACAGGCGAGAGTGGAAACAGCAACAAACAATTCTGTTGACGTCAGTCAATAAGCTCAGCGCCCATTCTTCCACAGAGTTTTAGCCATGACGTCATCCTGGCCGGCACCCACCGGACACAATTCAGCCTCTGATATCTCGTCGCCTCGTTCATCATTTGGCAACTGCCGGAGATACCTGCTTGCTCTGTCTATCGTTGTCCTCTTCTGTCCTTCTGTCACTCCACAAAGACATTCATGGGAGGCCCCTGGGTGTCACTTGGTAGGTGAGTATTTGCTACCATCTTGAAAGATAGATAGATAGATAGATAGATAGATAGATAGATAGATAGATAGATAGATAGACAGATAGATAGATAGACAGACAGACAGATAGATATATAGATAGATAGATAGATAGATAGATAGGTAGATAGATAGATAGATCAATAGATAGACAGTTAAATAGATAGATAGATAGATAGATAGATAGATAGACAGATAGATAGATCACTCTCGGACCAGGTTGACCCCGACATGCAGGGTCAAAGCCTGCCTTCTAAATGTATCGATTGTGGAGTCAAAACATTTTGTTTTTTGTTTGTTTTAAAAGAATCAAAATGCAGCAAT